TCAAATGTGTATTTTAGTGTATTAAAAGTCATAAGGAGAGGGATAAGTCTGTCCCTTGTAGTCATGGAGACGAGGCTAGGCCCTTTTGCTGTCCACATCTGGTTTTGTTTGCAGAGGAGGGTGTGATAGGGTCTTACACATAAACTGTCTTTGAAACACAAACCAGACAATTATCTTAGTTCTGGGGACAGGGCAAAGTTTCTTTCCTGCTCCTCAATGCCTGGAATCAAAGTTAGTTTATTAATTATGCATATTCTGAGTTTCTCAAAATAAAATGTCTCTTCAAAATGTCTGCTTTGGACAAAACTGATTACAGATAAATAACCATGAGTACTATAGTCCAAAGGACTATGGCAAACATTTAAAAAATAACAATGGCAACAAGTAGCTAGCTAACAATTATCAGATTCTGCTTTCAGAATCTGCTTTATTGGCCAGGTGTGTTGGACACACGAGGAATTTGACTGTGGTACATCGGCTCTCAATATGCATGTACATATCGCCATGCAAAGGGGCAAGTAGACAGGAAACAATGCAGACAGACAAATGAATGCTCATTGTGAAATAGATAAATAGGAATAATAATAGAGTACTTAAAAATAGAGACCTGTAAGGATCTGAATAATCTGTACAATGTATATTTACAGGTAGCGCACTGAGGAAAGGTATTGCATTTAGGGTTATTGTCCAGTCATACTGTCGTAGGTCAAGTATTCATCAGAGTGACAGCCCAGGAGAAGCAACTGTCCCTGTGCCTGGTTGTCTTGGTGCACAGTGACCTGTAACGCCATCCAGAGGGGAGGAGTTTGAACAGGTTGTGTCTGGGGTGTGAGGGGTCAGCAGTGATCCTCTCCGCCATCCTTTTGACCCGTGAGGTGTACAGGTCCTCCATGGAGGGCAGGCTTGGACCAATGATCTTTTTTGCAGTCCTAACTGTCCACTGAAGTCTATACTTGTCCTGTTTGGTTGCTGAGCCAAACCAGACAGTGATGAGGGTGCAGAGAACAGACTCGATGATTCCTCTGTAGAAGTGAAGATGGGGGCCAGCTGATCAGTGCACACTTTCAGGCAGGAGGGGGCTTTTTAAAGAGGCCACACACACATCCTTTTCACAGATCGTTAGAGGTGGGGGGCAGATTCAGGTCGTCTGCTAGTTGACGGTCCTCCACACGGGGGGGACTTCAGAAGCAGCTTTATTGGCCAGGAGTGACGGACACATGAGGAATTTGACTCTGGCACATCAGCTCTCAGCGTGCAAACAGTAAACCAGCATAAGGCTGTGTAATATAACAAAATAAGCAGTATTAATAGCAACATTGACAGCAACAAACAGTGCAAGCAATGTAGAATAAACAGTATAAACAAACAATAAACAATGCAGACAAAGGAATGTTCGTTCATGAGATAAGTAGGAATAGAAATAGAGTACTTGAAAATAGAGACTTGTATAGATCTCAATAGTCTGTACAATGTACATTTACAGGTATTTTGCTAAGGGTTATTGTCCAGTCATACTATCGTGGGTCAAGTGTTCATCAGAGTGATGGCCTGGGGAAGAAACTGTCCTTGTGCCTGATTGTCTTGGTGCACAGTGACCTGTAACGCCGTCCAGAGGGGAGGACTTCAAACAGATTATGTCCAGGGTGTGAGGGGCCAGCAGTGACCCTCTCCGCCCTCCTTTTGATCCGTGTGGTGTACAGGTCCTCCATGGAGGCCAGGCTCACACCAATGACCTTTTCTGCAGTCCTGACTGTCCGCTGAAGTCTGTACTTGTCCTGTTTGGTTACTGAGCTAAACCAGACAGTGATGGAGGTGCAGAGAACAGACCCGATGATTCCTCTGTAGAACTGTATCAGCAGCTCCTGGGGCAACTTCCTGAGCTGGTGCAGGAAGTATATCCTCTGCTGTGCCTTCTTGGTGGTGATCCTGATGTTAGACATCCACTTCAGGTCCTGGGAGATAGTGGAGCCCAGGACTTTGCTGCTGATACAGCACTGCCAAGTATGGTAAGTGGGGGTAAGGTGGGAGGGTTCTTCCTGAAGTCCACTGTCATCGCCACTGTTTTGAGCGTGTTCAGCTCCAGGTTGTTGCGGCTACACCACAGGTCACATCTATAGGCTGACGTGTTGCCATCTCGGATGAGACCAATGACCGTTGTATCATGAGCAAACTTTAGGAGCTTGACAGAGGGGTCCTTCAAGATGCAGTCGTTGGTGTACAGTGAAAACAGCAGAGGGGAGAGCACAAATCCCTGGGGGGCACCTGTGCTTATTGTCCGGGTGCTGGATTTGGTTTTCCGCAGCCTCACCTGCTGCTCCCTGTCTGTCAGAAAGCTAGTAATCCACTCTTAGGTGGGGTTCCTGTGGAGTCAACTTGAGAGAGAAGTTCAGATCCTGCATACTTTCTCACCTCCACACACCTGGCCAATTGCTATGTGAGGTGGGTGTCGAATAATCAGTTTCCAAAAACTCGTCTGATGCTGTAATTCCTTCACCATTGTGGTTGTTCACAGTCAAGCAGACCTTTGAAACAGGTGGACATATAATTTTCTGACAATTTGTGGTTGCACACTAATGTCTTTTATAGCATTTTCGATGTATTGGGAGCACTAGCATATGCCAGTCTTGTTCACTTTTCTGTTCTCTCTCTCTCTCTCTCTCTCTCTCTCACACACACACACACACACACACATACACTTTCAGTGACTGAATCTGTTATCTAACCTCTGTGCAACCAGTACCTAATTATAAGCCTAACCATAAACTCAAGTCCTTGTCTTAAAATGATGAATTCAGGACAGGCACAGTGTCCTCACTGGGGAGGTGTTTCCTCATTTTCCTGTCCTTGTGCAATTCTTTATTCTGTATCTCTGTGCTTACTGTAGTATAGTCTAATCTTTTGTGAATTATTAGTTTTATTTTTTTATTTTTAGGGTCCCTTTAAGGTACTTGGTGCTCTATAATGTGTGACAAATGTGTACATTGTGTGGCCCTGTGAGGGCCCTTGCAAATGTAGACGAAAGCATGTGTGTGTGTAAGTGCACATGCCATTGCAATATTCCATTAATAATTCTCTTTGGACAGAAACAGAGAAAAATGAGCAGCTATGGTCTAGGCATAACAGAGTTGTGGGTGTGCATGTGCACATTTCTTTTCTGAGCCACTGATCTTAAGGTGACATTGCTACTGAACAGATGCCCCTCCCTCTCCCCATCCAACAGCTGTATCAGCCAGCCATAACACTGCTGATGGGAACAGCCTGTTTTTGTTCACAGCTGTCTGTTAATGTGTCACCCTTCAGCTCTTTTCTCCTTCTCACTCTGAAAGATATTTGAACCTTACTTGTCCAAGGAAAGGTTTTACAGAAAACATGTGTACATTGGATTGCAACATAAACAACTTTACATCCTTCCATACAATGCACCACCTGTTTATACAGTTATTACCTATTATTATACTGAGTGACACTGAAGAAAACCATGCTGGTATCTTACGTAGTTGTTTTTTTGTTTGTACGACCCTAAGCCCCATGCCCTTCAGGAGACATGCTAGTTTTCACACCACACCCCTTTCTGCTTCCTGTAGTTAGGGTTTCCACAGTATCTCCCCATTGTTTGGATTAGTGTAAAGCAAAAATGAATAAAATTTTTCTTTAGAATAAAAGTGAATGTAGCCCTGTAAATATTTATAGATGTAAAGTAAAAAGTAAACCAATTTAAAGTTTGAATCAAAGCAAATTTCTTCAGTTTGTAAAATAAAATTTACTGTCACAAATTACATTCATTGGTGGTGAAGAATAAGGTCCATTAAATCCACAACTCTTCTGAGTTACACACAGCTTGATTCTTCATGCTGTGGTGCTGGGTGTTCGAAGGCTAAAATAGTGGCTCGCTGATCTGGAACACCCCAGGGTCGTGTTAGCCATTGGACTGTGTTCCATAAAAGAGCCTATGGTCATCTGTGGATTTAGTGGACCTTATTCTCTTGAAGAAAGGAGACTAGGGAAAAAAAACACTCCACATATTAGCTGTTGACCATCAGTGGAAGACTGACTGCAGTTGGAGCCTGCAAATATCTTTAACTTTAGTCAACTTTCCTTAAGGAAATAGTCTGAAAGACCAAAACTTTTTTTCTGAGAATTGGAAAGTGGCAATAACATTGTCCCTGGGGCTGACCAGCACATCCTGACCTGTGTTGGGAATGAACATGTAGTGATGAAATGTGCTTTTGTGTCCATACATACACAAACTTAAAAAAAAAAAAAGCTCTCTGACATGATACCGTTCTTTGTGATATGAAGACCTCTCACTGATCACCACAGGATTTGTCAAATGCTTCTGACTCAAACACCAAAACAAACAGGTGCAATCTTTAACAAACATGTCCAAAACTACTACTGATAAAAGTGTGTTTGGGTCACTTAAAAGCCTACATCAAGGTATTGCAGAGTCAGAAAGACTTCAGAAAAAAGTGAAAGTGTTCAGCATTTGCTATTTTAACACCCACACACGTACTGTGAGAACACTACATTACTGTAAAACTACTGTGAAATTACTTTTGATGTTTGTAAGGTTGTGTTTCAACGTTAAGTGCAAAATGATGCAGTTATAGATGTGAGCCATGCTTCATTTGGCAGATTTGAAATACTCGTGACAAACATTTTTATGTATTACTCTGAAGAGAATTATGGGTGTTTTATGACTACATGGTATGATGTACATGTAGCAGCATGTTGGTTCCCATAACTGTGTTCATACTGTGTTTATAGTTGTGTTGATATAATGTATTCTCTAGCACCTTACCCTGATTTTAACCATCACAACTAATGGCCTAACCCCAACACTTCACCTAACCTTAACTTGAAGCTGATTCTAACATCAACCCAACATTTAACCTTCAAAATGGTTAAATGGTTAAGCACTTAGGCATGTAGAGGGACAAATGTTGTCCCAGTAGGATATAACTTATCCAATAAAGAGTTCTCTCTTTCTGTTTTTGCAGATCTTACAGGTGAATCTAGTGATGTCTATCCTGTTGTATGTGATGGTCCTCGTGTACCTCTATGGTATCCAGGCAACCAACATGGACAGCAGTCACCAGGGGCAACAGCAGCTGAATCCTGACCCTTTAAACTCTCTCATCATCCAGCTGCTTCAGGCTGACCTGACGAGGGGCAAGACTAGGGGAAACCAGAGCCAACAGGGGAAAAGCAGAGACACAGAACCCCAGGCCATGCTGCCCCGACTCTTCATTGCAAACTTTTCTTTAGAGGAGCAGGGTGATGCAGAGCAGTGGGGAATGGGGAATCGTGGCGATGGCATGGTGGAGCAGCAAGTAACACTGTTAAACTCAGATTTACTGAGGCAGCACAAGCGGTACAACTCACCTCGAGTGCTGCTGAGTGACCGGCCACCACTGCAGCCACCACCACTGTACCTTGCAGATGATTTTGTGAGCAGTGGATTTGAGGGTAGAGTAACACCAAACAAGACACGAAAGAAGCGTTACGCTGAGCACAAGAGCTATCGTGGGGAATATTCCGTCTGCGACAGTGAGAGCCAGTGGGTGACGGATAAAACCCAAGCAGTGGACACTAGGGGGGACTCTGTGACTGTTCTTGCCAAAATTAAAACCAGTGCCACACAGGACATCAAACAATACTTTTATGAGACAAGATGTCGGACCCCTAGGCCGTTCAAAGGTGGCTGCAGGGGCATTGATGACAAGAACTGGAACTCGCAGTGCAAGACAACACAGACGTATGTTCGAGCACTGACACAGGTTCGTAATTCAGTGGGCTGGAGATGGATACGCATAGACACATCCTGCGTCTGTGCATTGTCTAGGAAGCGTAACAGGACATAAAACCATACAAGCCTTGCTGGGGACTACCTGTTTGGAATTCTTCCTGTATAGGATTTTATTTCCTGTTCACAATGGTCACCATCACATGATAATGTGTCATGGTGATGAAGAGCAACATCTTGCTATAAAATGATACATCTATTGAAAAAATCTTGGGTCCAATTAAATATTTCACATCAATGTGCTGCAAACCCACAAGCTAATGCAGTACTGCTGTTATGAAAGAACTCACTTTAGAGGTGTTGGGGAGTGAAGGAGTAAGTGTGTGATGGAGAACTGTATATATAAATTATTTAAATTATATGAAATGCATGTAGTTTATACATGTTTATCTATCTATATATGATGTATGAGTATATTTGTGTTATTTATTGAAAGAAGTTGTCTTCAAAAGGAAAAAAATGTCTATAAAAAAAGGAATGAAACAAGCTATGAGCTCATTGTGAGACTGTAACATAGAGCCGGGCTGCAAAGGTGCTTTACAGTAAGACTTTACATGTGCCTTGACCAGTGTGGTTGCAGAGCAGATTGGACATCGTAACTCACACATAGCAGTTGTCACAAATGTTTTGGGGATGAACCTAAAAAGTTGCATAACTGCAGGGACCCATCCTGTACCATGGCCTAATATGAGGCTCAAATTCCTACCACCACACAGATAACATATCACAAGGTACAACACATTCTAAGGCTAAAACACAGATTTGAGATTTGTGACCAAATTAACACTGCTTTCACATTTGAATATATATATATATATCACATGTAATACATCATAATTTTATTCATTCCTCAGAGAAAGTTTTGACAAAATAAAAGGAATAATATATTCAAGAAAATTAGGCCATCTTGATGCTGTTCATGATGTTTTACTCTCAGCTGGGATCATTAGCTGTTTTTGTTTCTTCTTGTTAATAAAGAGAAATATTTCTTAAGTCTAAAAACATTTCATTAGCATGTGCCTTTTTAAACATTGGGTGTCATTCACCAACCATTCTAAAGAACAAGTTTGTTCATAAAACCCACGACGTTTTCACAAAGATACTGGTATTCAGCAATGTTTTCTTATATGGGATTTTTTCTTAGGTAAGAAGACAATCTATACATCTATACAATCTATACTTACACACAATTGAGCTCTGATATGTGTGTGAAATAACTGGTTATTTAGTTTTCTTCAGTTTTACAGTTGTCCAATAGTATAAGATTTAAGTTACAATAACAGTTTTGTCATGCTTAGTATTTTAAATATTTTTCCCATTATTTAACAAAACATTATGGTCTTTTAAAATAAACACTACACTAAAAATTACATCAAGCAATTCATTTTATTTTTAAGGTTTTAAAATTAATAAAACATTTACCATGTGATTATTTATAGCTTGGAATTAGGAAATGCATTACTTAAAAACCAAACATGTTTAATATCTTTATTTCTAGTTTCTGTTAACTTCTTTCAGTGTCTCTCATATATTTTGGCCAGTGTGTAATTGTTTGGTTGTCCAGCACTGCAGCACTACCTGCAGAAAGATACAGGGAGAAAGAGAGGACATACTATGGGAGACAGGAGACACACAATTAGTGATACGTAATGGTGGCATATAGATGCATAGAGAGAGAGGAGAGGACAGGGCAGAGAAAACACAGGGCAGGAGAAAAACTCAGATCATCATGGGGATCCCCCCAGCAGCCTAGGCCTATAGCAGCATAACTAAGGGAAGGCTCAGGGACACCTGATCCAGCCCTAACTATAAACTTTATCAAACAGGAAAGTCTTAAGTTTATAATCGTGGGGTGTCTGCCTCCTGAACTGAGACTGGGAGCTGGTTCCCAGCTTGAGAGCTAAAGGCTCTGCCTCCCATTCTACTTCTGTAAACTCTAGGAACCACAAGTAGACCTGCACTCTTGAGAGTGAAGTGCTCTGTTGGGATTGATTAAGGCACTATGAGGTCTTTAAGATATGATGGAGCCTTGTCATTAAGGGCTTTGTATGTTAGGAGAAAAATTTTAAATTCTATTCTGGAGGGAGCCAGTGGAGAGAAGCTAATGTAGGAGAAATATGATCTCACTTGCTAGTTCCTGTCAGTACTCTGGCTGCAGCATTTTGGATTAACTGGAAGCTTTTTAGGGAATTATTGGAACATCCTGATAGTAAAGAGTTACAGTAGTCCAGCCTGGAAGTAACATACACATGGACCAGTTTTTCTGCATCACTTTGAGACAGGATGTTCCTGATTTTTGTGATACTGTGCAAATGAAAGAAGGCAGTTCTATAGACTTGGTTTATCTATGATTTAAAGGACACATCCTGGTCAAAAATGACTCCAAGGTTCCTCACAGCAGTACTGGAAGCCAGAGCTACAGTATGTCATTGAGAGTAACTATATGATTAGACAGCATATTTCTAAGATTTTCAGGCCCAAGTACAATAACTTGCTTGAATAGCTTGAATAATAGCTTGACGTTTGACCAACTGATCTGATTCATCTGGGTTCATAGATAAATATAACTATCATCAGCGTAGCAATAGAAATTTATGCCATGTTTCCTGATAGTATTGCCTAAAGGAAGCATGTATAAAGTGAAGAGAATTGGACCTATCAGAGCCCTGTGGAACATTATGATTAACTTCAGTCTGTGTGGAAGATTCATCATTAACATAAACAAATTGGAATCTTTCTGATAAATAAGATTTGAACCAACTTAGTGCAGTTCCTTTAATCCCAATGACATGTTCTAGTCACTGGAGTAAGATGTTGTAATCGATGGTGTTAAAAGCAGCACTGAGATCTAAGAGGACAAGTGTAGAAACAAGTCCGTTGAGGCTAGGAGGACATCATTAGCTGACTTTCACCAGTGTAGTTTCTGTTGTATGATGGACTCTAAAACCAGACTGAAGATCCTCAAACAAATAACTTTTGTTTAAGTGGTCACATAATTGCTTTGCAACAGCTTTTCCAAGGATTTTAGAGGGAAATTGGATTTTGGTCTATAATTAGCTAGGACACCCGGGTCAAGAGTAGGCTTTTTGAGTAGATGTTTAATTACAGCAACCTTAAAAGCCTGTGGAACATAGCTTTTTAATAGAGAGAAGTTAATCAGGTCTAATATGGATGCGTTGATTAGGAGTAAACCATTTTTGAGTAGCCTGGTTGGGATGGGGTCTAAGAGACATGTATGGCCCTGATGCACTGGTCCAGGTCAGATAACTCTGGGTCAGATTGTCCTCCTCCATTGGTCAGTGTCTCTCTTCTGTGTTTGTTTTGTTGCCTCAGATTTGAGATCAAACCATCTTTTTAATTCATCAGCTGTGCACCCTTCTCCTTATACGATGTTCAATGAATCATTAAGAGCCTCCCATGAGTTTTTTATGTTTTATTTTATATCCACTACAAACACAGAATAGTTCATTCATTGTTCTCCACTTCATAGCTCCTCACATTTTTCTTTGGTTTGGAGTTCAGTACTCCAATGTCTTTCAGTTTTTATTCTAACATTCCAGGTGTTCTCTTTTCTTTTCAGTTTCTGTGTGAGAGTCCTGTGTGCACATGGCCCTGCAGTCTCATGCCCTTTTATGGGCATCGGCTGGATGTTAATCTATGCTAATTATGAACAACTGGTACTCACTTAGGAACACATGAGATTCATCAATATAAGAGCACAGGTGTGCACAATTCTGTGGTTTAAGAACATACTCATAAATCAGACATAAAATTTTCTTAGGACCTTTCTTAAGAACAACCTGTGATGAAATTTAAGAAAACACTTTGGAAGATGTTGGTGAATGAGACCCATTGCTTTTATATTGCTTGAACAAATAATCCATTACACCTTCAAAATACCGTATGTTTTGATAACCTGCTGCTGCAGCCTAGTTTCACATGAAAATGTATAGTAGCTTTGTTGGTCCACAGCGTAAAACGTAGTGGTGTTACGTTAACAGCATTACAATTGTGATATGGCAAAATTTTTCATATTGCAGCCCAGTGTCTTTTTTTCATCTTCTTCTTATTGGTGGCTGGCAAACAGCACAATGGTGCATTACCTGCAACCAACTGGACTGGAGTGTGGAAATTAACTTGTAGTGTCCACTGAAGTCAAAAGACTTTGAATTATAGAATGTTATAAAAATGAGGAAGGTGGTGGTTGCACTGGAGGGATGGCTCCAACAACCACCTCACTTCACCAGAGATCATGTCCCATGTGCAATGCTGTACTTTTCATTTGAGAACATTTTAACTGAACCCATTTCCCTAACCTTAAACATGTAGTTTCTGTGTCTAAACCTAACCATGTATAAGGAATGTCAGCCATTGTCTTTTGTTTTTTCTGACAGAAAGGCATTGCCATTTCACAATTTTTGATCCAGAAAATGTTGCAATGTCAATTGTGGAGGCGTTATTGTGAGACTAGGTTTTGCGCTGCAGATCAGCATGGCTAATATACACTACATTTAGCTTTGAAACTGGGTTGGCTGTAGACTTTGCATTGGTGCTTACCATTGACTGTATATATGATGGATAGCCTGACAGTTCCCAGAAGCAAAGCTACCTTGAATTAATCATCCCCTTGTGGCTGGTTGCAGTATAGATCATAAATCCCACCCCCTCTATGTTAGTGGATGGGACATAAGCTAAACTCAGAAGTACAAATAAAAAAATTAAAAAAATTCCAGAGGTGATGTTTGTTATGTTAGATAAGCAATATCATGATGATTTGTGTACAAGTGATCATTTTTCTGGTCAGTTTGTTTTTAGCTTTTTAAGTTATTTGATGATACAAAAAGGTGTGTATTTTATTTGATTTGACAACTTTGATTGGTGGTCTGATGCTCTCACTACATTTCTGGTTGCAACTGCACAGAATCTGGTTGCAAAAAAAGCAAGATGGCAGTTGCTGTATTTACAGTATTTTGGCTTCATTTTGTGATGCAACGTCCATTGTATATACAGTCAATACTAGTTACTTATTGTTAATTCTTAAATGGAGTACATAGAGTAAAGGATGATGAATTCCATAAAAAAGTTATAGCCAAATAATAGTTGTTGCACAGCAGCAGCAGCCATTGGAGGAAACGCTTATTCTGCTTCTGTCTTGTTATATAAAGGCAAATTAGTCTATTTACTAGCATCTTGGGCATAATATTGTAATTTTGCTGTATGAATCAGGCACAAATAAAATACTGATACATTCGTACTGATACATAACCTCTAGAGTCCCTGCGTCCTCATATGAGGACCGCACAGCTTGGGTTTCCAAAGC